TTTCTATGAGGGATCCCTCATTTTAGTAATAGCAAGACAAAATGCCACATCATTATTTTCCCTGATGTGACTGCATTCTCCCTACTATTAATTAGGCCAGATTAGATTTCTACAGGATGCATTTGACCTGACAACCTCTAATCTGTCTAATGCCTTTGAAACCACACTCATTTGTTTTTGCAGAGTTCCTGTGTGTACAAATTGCATGCTGTGTATTGAACAATCCTGCCTAGCATTAGCATCTCTATTAGCAACTATACAAAATCATATGCAAGGTCTCTCTCAGAATCTCAGCTTTTGTTAGTTATCCATGGAGCAGTCATCTAAATACACTGCAAACCTGGGAGGGATGGATGGATGCTAACTGATTTGAATATAAGGATCTGAAGTAGATGGAAAAGGAAGGTGGAAATGTCTAAGATATAAAGTCAGTGATGTGCAGCTGGGCAACAAATTCATATTTTCCACCTACTGATGCTCTACTTGTTCTCAGGTCAATTTGTACTCTCAGGGGACTGGTTTTCATTAACTCATTTATTTACTTTTCCTTTAATTTCTTCCTCTTATCCTCTCCTTGTCAAATAACATGAAATAACAAATAAAATTTGATCTAACAAACTTTCAAATTCAAATTTCTCCAAGAAAGGATGTATCTACATTTTAAAGTCTCAACCATTCTCCAATTTATGTTCGGTTGCACTGAACACAAGAGTATTAGAAGGGAGACAGACACCAAAAAGTATTTCATATTTACAGAATGCTGTTCAATGGCATAGCAAAAGAAATTACAGAATTATGTTTTTAATTTTAAAAGTCCGCTCCAATCCACCTCCCTCTCCAGAAAAAGTCCACCAAAAACACAGGTAAAACTTGGTGTATTTTAAGATAGGAAAATGAAAATTGCAGCATGAGAGAAGAGGAAGATCAGCCTAGCTGGGTGCTTTTTAAATAAAACTACACATAGTGTGGTTTTATATACAATCCTTACCTGAACAGAAGTCATCAGAATATCTATCATACACTGCTTTGCAATTTCTTTCATCACACTCACAAGTGTCTCCATGAATATCTCCCCAGTCACCAGCTGGGTCCACATCATGGCATGTGCATTCCCCACATATGCATGTGCCTAGGAAAGAAAAAAACCAACAAGAACAAAAAAGCCTCAAAAAAACCCAAACAAAACAAAAAACCCAACAAAAGACACCCCAGAGATCAAAGATTAACTGAGCAATTGCAATTAGAGCAATAGTAGTTTGATTACAGGAATTTACACTTGTGAATTTTCAGCTTTCACAGGAATGTGGTTTCGAAGCTGCAAGTGTTAATCATGAGCATGTGCTCATGTATGATTTGAAACCTTCTATGATTTTTTGGTAGCAATACTTGATACAAACAAATTGGGTTCCTGGTCAAGTTTCTTTTTCCTGTTGAGCCTTATTAGGAATCAACAGAAATATTTAGCGCACAGCACAGTCATAAATCTTTGACATCAGCAGCAATTTGCTCTGACAGTAATGACAATAAAAATCAATTCTGTTTAAATGAGTTGGGCTTGGACACAGGGGATAATTAATGGTTGTTAAAGCATAAACATTTAAACAATAAGGGATTCCAAATTCTAATCCAGCTGAAAATGTCTAGCAGGTCATTCTTTACCTAAGAAGAACAGCAGCACAGATCTACATGGAAATTACACTTTTCCACTTTTCCAAGTCAGTATTTAGGGCCACATCCTGTTGCTTACAATAAGAAATGTGAAGCATGACAAAAATACAAATTTGGCACAGTCTTACTAGTATACAGAAAACACTTATCCTACGTACTTAGAAAAATCAGAACAAAGCAAAGCAAAAAAGAAAGACAGTTTCCTTATTCAGAAATCCAAATACGCTTAGGGCCACACACTCACTCCTCTTCCTGAGATGCCAACAGGCCCACAAAAGCAGCCTGATCTGATGGATGCTGTTCATTTCCTGCAGAATGCCTCCACCTTCTGCTACTCCACCCACAACTTTGTCATTTTATTCAGATGACTCTAAACAATATCATGCACTCGAGAACAAGAGGACAGGGTGACTAATCTGTATGTATAGATATGGGCACATTATCTAAAAAAAGGTCTACACAATTGTGCATGCATGACAGTTACAGGAAGCAGGAAGAGCTAAGGCCACCAAGACAGCCCTCAAGAAATTTGCACCTGATTTTTGATACTTTCACAATTCAGTGACATGACTGAAGAAGAAGAAAAAGAAAACAACCCAGCAAGAAGCAAACAAGCAAACAAAAAGCAAAAAGAGGAAACGCCTCTGGAGAATGATTAATCCTCCCAGAAAAAACTTCAAAGTGAATTTGGATCAGCTGTCCTGGATATCAGAATGCAAAACACCATCTTGCCGATGTTCAAAAATCTAAAGGTTCATCTCTGGTCCCAGCTGGTTGACTAGACAGTTGGGGGAAAGATACAGACAATTTATCCATCTTAGCACTGAAGGAGGGTGAACAGCAAGGTTACCCTTGATATTTGATTTTTAGAAGGCTGACAATATGAACTGAACTTTTGTCACAAGATGTATAAACACAGAAAACTGGGCAAGCAGGACTAAATGGAGTAGAGATACTGTGTTGGAAAACACCTTCATGTCATCAGAAACTGACAAAATTTTTATGAAGATAAAATCACAAATACATGAAAGGCTAAAGATATAGAAGTACCCCACAAATGTACCTTTGTATAGGAGGTTGTAGCTGCTCAGAATATCAGTTATACTATTCACTCAATTTCTCCAGTTATAATGTGAATTTAAAGAAATAGTCACACGTTAAAATTTCAAATTTTAACAAAAGCTTTCTTTGACAAGAAATTCTTTGACCAGAAATTACTTTGCTAGTGCAAAGAAAGTATCTGATCTGAAGCCACGTTGATATTCAGTATTTCCAGAACTACACAAAAATCTTATGCTGAAGTCCCAAGACTAAATGAGCCTACATGATCTCTGTATTTCAGCCAATCTTTCAATTTCCTCATAATTATGGGAAGAGAGTTTTCTAAATGCTCTCAGGATAATTAGATGTTCACTCTACAGCAGGTTTTGTCAGTAGGGATGTTTTTAAGACAGGTATCTTTGTGACATTTACTAATGTTCTACTGTAATTATTCCGGACTACTGCAAAAAAATCAACCAAAAAAACCCCATATTTTTTTAACTCTTTGTTCAATGAAGCCAAGCACATCAGCTAGTGGAATGCAAGCTTATTTTGTGCCTTTTTTTCCCCCAAATGGCTAAATTAGCCACAAGTATAAGGTAAAATTCAAATTCCAGAATATTTTGCAAATAAACCCCCAAGTAGTTAGAAATATATTGTGAAGTCTACCTTTCCATCTCTGTATGCATTCCACAGCATTGTTACTGAACACTTCACAGGTGCTTTTTCAGGTTGCAGTGGAAACTAAATGCTTTGAGTTTTCATTTTCCCCATAAAATTCTGGGTCTTAGGCATTCTTTAATAGTCAATTGATAAACAGTCCTGTGACCTTACAGTGCAAATCTATTAAAAGTCAAAAATCTGCTAAGATTTTATTTTGCAAGGTAGGTCTCTCACCAAGCCAGATGTATAAAATTATCCTGCCCAGTCCTACTACAAAAATGAAAGATGAGAACAATTTGGTTTGCTTAACCAAGAAACGGGTGAGGATTCGTTTAAGTTCATACCTAAACACAGGTATCTACCCACTCACTTGGAAATGTATATCCAGACATGAAATAGGTGAGAACAAATTAGAAACCATCAGTAAACACAATCTGTGTCCTACTGTAGAAAATGCATAGAGTAAAATAAAAGCAAGCTATATAAATATGGGTAGAAGGATCATGCGAATGACACACCTCTGTTGCTGCAGATTTTGCCATCTGGAGATGTGCATCTTTTCTTGATCTCCCAGGGGGTGATGTCACACTGGAATTCACATTTATCTCCATGCCAACCAGCCTCACAGTAACAGTTTCCACAGTAACACTTTCCATGGCCTTAAGCCAAAACAAATTTTATACAGTGAGAAAGAGGCAAGTTTTTAAAAGGCATTAACAATTTATCTGTTTTGATCTTTCCTTTTAAAAACTTTTAGGCTAGACTAGACTCAGAATAGAAACAATTCATAGATGATATATGTCTATATAAAATATATGTAGTAGGATACCTGAATTAGACTTTGCCCCACTATTTTAGAGCATGTTTTCATTCAGTCACTGATTTAATTCACATGTTAAGGCAGGACACACAAGCCTACCATACTCAGCATGTCTAAGAGAGTACTGTGTATTCTTGGCTCCTCAGATAGTTCCAGCAAAGGAACCTTGATTTATTATACACTGCCTACATTGTATATAGCTTCCCTTCTTACCTGTTAGGAAGATTTTAGAACATGGATAAACCAGTTGATTAAATATAATTATCAGCAAAACGAATCTTTCAGATTTCATTTAACAAATCATACATACCCCAAAAAAAAGAGTTGCATCATCTCAGGCTTGATGAAACCAGATCCTGAACATTTTGATCTGCTAAGGTACATGTGCCATGTGCTTCAATGGCATAAAGAATCTAAATTAAGTTGCTGCAACTATCATTCATCTTAAAGTTATAAGTTAATTCTTTACTGGAAGGATCAAGTCAGGATCTTCTTCCTTCTTTCCTCCAGGTATGTAAAGCTTATTTGACCCAGTTGTCTCTACCACAATCTGGTCAATCCATATCCATAACTATTAAGAGTGCAAATTGCTGAATACAATTTTTTCCTGTTTTGCAACTACATGTGGAATTTTCATTAGAATTGCTTGGTTACATGTCAAAAAATAATTAATTTAATTGGATAATTAAACAACTAAAACAATGTAAAAATAATGCTTCTTACCAAAAGTTTGTTCTTGAATAGTGAACAAGAAATAAAAGGGATAAGGGTAAAGGAGCAAATTAATTTGATCTACTGGCAGGTTTCACAGATTAAAACATCAGTACTTCATTCTTCACTCACAGTTTTATACTCCTCAAATAAATATGAATCAAATGATACAATTTGCTACTACCTGTTGCTCTTGAGATAAGAAAATATCATTCCAGTCGAGCAAAATAAGCTTTAGATTATAAAAAATATAAGGATGAAAAATTAATTTGTTAGAAACCATGATACTTTAGTAAAAACAAGCTACAACTTGATTCCAAAATTTATATAACCTCAAATAAAAAATGATGCAGCCAACTGACTGATAAAAATCTAACGGAGGCTGGAAAAGCTTAACATATCTTTGTAACTCTGCCTTAAGCTGATTTGCTTAAAAAATGCAGTGTCCTTGTGAAAAGACTAAAATGTGTGTTATCTACATCTCAGCATGGCATTGTATGATTTTCCAGGATAAAATCATAGCTCAGGATTGATGAAATGATGCACCTTTGATCTTCATTTCATGTGCTGTCCAAGTTTTCTGCATAAGGCCTGGTTCAACATATAGTTATGTTATCTACCAGCTGTAGAGGTTTGTTAGAAAGCAAAATAGAATCTAACACTCGTAACATACATGCATAAACTTTTAATCTTACAACAAACTAACCAAGTTAAGCAAACCAATGGTTTATACCTTATCCATTACTTCAGAAGTTGCCAAACTTTACATGACTTGTCGTGGCTTTTATACTGATAAATCACCAGATTTAGAGACTTGAATCTACCAACATCTTTTGTCCTTTTATATCAGCATGCTTTGATTTCTCCATACACACAAAAATAGTTTTTTACACAGATGCATCTGGTCTGATTTGGAATGTGGCATGATTGAATGAAACAAGGGGAATAAAAGCTAAGAAAAACCTAACAGTATAAACCAGCAGCAAAATGGGAGAGGGGAGGAGAAGGGGGGAAGAAGTGGAGCACACTGACAAAAACAGCAAAAGGAAAATTTACTGGAACTGAATAAATGGTAAATTTTTATCATATCTGGTACCATATGTAATGGTTACAAGCAATTATAAATAGAATCACTGGCACATAAGCCCTGTAACCCTCCACTCATTTTATTTTATTCAGTTACTGGAAGTATTGTACTCTCCTCCTGGATTTGGACAGAGGACCATTCTGTATATCCCCATTTAAAATCCATATTTAATCCTATGCAAAAAAAAGTAATTTTTTTTGCCTTCAAATGCACATAAATAGACTTTATTTTTCTCTCTTTGTAAGGAAAAGACAAAGAAAACCATTTTACACAAGTGCTCTCTCTCTATACACACACAGAGCAAGCACTAACACCAGACCTGAATAGTCTAAGAGCAGATTGTAACACTCTTGTGTGCATACACAGCACACATGTGCATAACTTGAACAATATTTGTAGTACCTTCCAGCTCAAGGACAAGCCTCCCTAGTAATACAGGCAACAGTATTTATAATGTAATAAATGCTGTGTATTGCACAATATTTAATTGCCAAGTTCCTATGTTATAATGAAATGAAAGCAGTTAGAATTTTGCTTGCTTTTCTAGCTACCAGCAGAGTTCATTCCATCTTATTTTCTTGCCTTTCCTATCACCGATGAAATTTTTCTTCATTCATTCCTTTCTCTTCTTATCTCCTGAATTGCTTCTGAGTTCTCATCCTACATTTTTTCAACAACAACAACAATAATAATTCTAATAATAATAATTCTTAATAATCTATATTGTTTGGTTGGTTTTGATTATTTTTTTCTATGGCCTCCATCCTGCTCTCATGTGTGCCACAAAGCATTCACATTTGTTGTATTCTACTGAAGACAGACACACTGAGCTATGGATTACCTTAGTGAATTACCTTGCATAATCCTCTTTGCAGTTATCCCAAAAAGAGGAGGATGTCACAGGATTTATTCACTCTTTAACCTTATGCTTAGCTCATTTTTGCATCTGACATTTCCACTTAGAATTTGCAAACTAAATTACTGCAAATACAGTTACTTTTATTTTAAGTCATACATTCAATAAGGATGTTTTCTAGGAGCACACAATTAAATGATAACAGCCTATGTTAATCTTCACCATTTTTCTTGAGCTCATTAAAATACATACCTGTACAAATCTCTCCTGTTTCATCATCTATGCATTCTCTGTCATCACATTCACAATATTTCCCATAGACCAGTCCATTTCCTTCTGAGTTTGCACATTTACACCTGCCACACAGACACGTGCCTGTAAACATTTAAGACAGTACTCAATGACTGCAGGTTACAGAAAGAGTTTTATTAGCCCATCAGTGATGGTACATGTTTTGTTTCTGAGAAGGCTGAAATCTAAGGATCATCTGTCCAAATAAGCACAGCCACAAAAACAATCCATATCAACAAAATGTCTAGTCTTGGCTGTAAAGGGATACAACATTCAAGTGCTTTGGAAATGTTTTTTCTCACAACATAAAAAACAAAAAAAAAAAAACTTTTTCATAAGGAAAACTAGAACTCTCAAGCATGTCAAGTATGGAATTGGCTTGTAAACAGATCTCTCTTCTATCACCTCTGGTCTGGTCAGACATTTCCTTCTTGGTCTTTTGAGTAGGATGTCACTGGCTGCCTCTCTCCATGACCCACCCTCCCAAACAGGATAA